TCTCTCTTGTGTTTCGGGTGGGCATTTGTGATGGGCAACCAAGCCGAGGGTGTCTGTCCCGAAGTGGAGGGAGCGTCCCTGGAGCTGGGCCATGCCCCCTCTTCCCACCATTGTTTTCCCAGCATCCTCAGCAGCTGTGGGGTCTGGGGCGCCCCCGGAGGCAGAGCAAGCCTGGCCCCAAAGTAGCGGGGAGGAAGAGCTGCAGCTGCAGCTGGCCCTAGCCATGAGCAAAGAAGAAGCTGACCAGGTACCAGGGGCAGAGTTCCGCTGGGTGGGGAGGCAGTGGTGCGCTTGGGTTTGGCCACATCTCCTCTCCATCGTCCACATCTTTCGCCTTCTCAGCCCTGAGCCCTGCCTCCCTTCCTCTCCTTGGCTCTCTCTGGCCCTCCCAGGCTCTCTCAGGCTCTTTCTGGCTCTTCCTGGCTCCTCCTGGCTCTCCCAGGCTCTCTCAGGTTCCCCCTAGCTCTCAGGCTCTCTCAGGCGCTCCCTGGCTCTCCCTGGCTCCCCCTGGCTCCCCTTGGCTCCCCTTGGCTCCCCCTGGCTCTCCCAGGCTCTCCCAGACTCTCCCAGGCTCTCTCAGGCTCTCTCAGGTTCCTCCTGGCTCTCAGGCTCTCCCTGGCTCCCCCTGGCTCTCCCTGGCTCTCCCTGGTGCTGTCAGGCTCCCCCTGGCTCTCTCTGGCTCCCCATGGCTCTCCCTGGCTCCTCCTGGCTCCCCCTGGCTCTCCCTGGCTCTCCCTGGCGCTGTCAGGCTCCCCTTGGCTCTCTCTGGCTCTCCCTGACTGTCCCTGGCTCTCTCTGACTCTCCCTGGCTCTCTCTGGCTCCCCCTGGCTCCCCCTGGCTCTCCCTGGCTCCTCCGGCTCTCCCTGGCTCCCCCTGGCTCTCCCAGACTCTCCCAGGCTCTCCCAGGCTCTCCCTGGCTCACTCTGGCTCTCCCTGGCTCTCCCTGGCTCTCCCTGGCTCTCCCTGGCTCCCTCTGGCTCCTCCTGGCTCCCCCTGGCTCTCCCTGGCTCCTCCGGCTCTCCCTGGCTCTCCCTGGCTCTCCCTGACTCTCCCTGGCTCTCTCTGGCTCCCCCTGGCTCTCCCAGGCTCTCCCTGGCTCTCCCTGGCTCTCTCTGGCTCTCCCTGGCTCTCCCTGGCTCCCCCTTTCTCCCCCTGGCTCCTCCGGCTTTCTCTGGCCCTCCCTGACTCTCCCTGGCTCTCTCTGCCTCTCCCTGGTTCCCTCTGGCTCCCCCTGCCTCTCCCTGGCTCTCTCTGGCTCTCTCTGGCTCTCCCTGGCTCTGCGACTCTCAGCCCTCACATTCTCTCTCCCCACCCTGCCAGCCCCCACCCTGTGGCCCCGAGGATGACGTCCAGCTCCAGCTGGCCCTTAGTTTGAGCCGGGAGGAGCATGACAAGGTCAGAGCCACGTCCTTCCCCCCTCTCCCCTCCGTCTTCTCCCTCAGGCCCGAGCCCCCCGCCCCGGGCTGCAGGCGTCTGGCTCCCCTCATTCCATCCCCATTTCATGTTAATTTGCTGGTCACTGTTGCGGGGAGAGGGTTCTCGGGAAGTTGGGGGCGAGCACGTGGGGCCCGTCCTGACCTTTCCTCCGCCTGCCGCCTGGGTGCCCCTGTCCCCCAGGAGGAGCGGATTCGTCGGGGCGATGACCTGAGGCTGCAGATGGCCATTGAGGAGAGCAAGAGAGAGACCGGGGGCAAGGAAGAGGTGAGGGGGCCTGGGGCGGGAGGGGCTGCGTCTTGCCGGCCTCGGGGTCTCTTTGTACTCCCCCCCACCCCAGTTCTCTCACGTTTGATCTCTTCTCTCTCCCCAGTCATCTCTCATGGATCTGGCTGATGTCTTCACGGCCCCTGCCCCCCCACCCTCCTCTGACCCCTGGGGTGGTCCTGTCCTTGCAGCTGTCCCACCCTCTGACCCCTGGGGGGGGCCCCCAGGACCCCCTGTCCCACCCTCAGCTGACCCCTGGGGGGGGCCCAGCTCCCACCCCTGCCTCTGGGGACCCCTGGAGACCTGCCCCACCCCCTGGCCCTGCAGCTGATCCCTGGGGGGGCCCCCCTGCTCCCCCTGCTGGAGAGGGGGGGACCCCAGACCCCTGGGGGGGAACTGATGGTAAGTACTGACTTTGTTATCTCTGATTCCATTCTCTCCCATCTATAGAATCTCCCTTAGGAGAGGGGTGGGGTAGGGCCTGGCCTCATAGCTCCCTTTCCCACCCATTTGCTCCACCCCCCACGATGCCTTTTTGCACATTCTCTTGATCTTGTCCTCAGGCCCAAGTGGGGCCCCAGTCAGCGGCCCGCCCACCACCGCTGACCCGTGGGCACCAGCGCCAGCCTTCTCAGACCCCTGGGGAGGCTCTCCAGCCAAGCCCAGCACCAATGGCACCCCAGGTATCTGGTAGTGAGGGAGAGAGTCCGGGGATGGGGGAGCCTGCCAGCCAAGTCCGTTTGGAGATGGGCTTGTGGGATGGAGGCCCCAGAGCTTGCTCTGTCCTGTGCAGTGACGGGGGGCTTTGACACAGAGCCCGATGAATTCTCTGACTTTGACCGCCTTCGGACAGCACTGCCCACCTCAGGCAGCAGCACTGGTGAGCCCCCGCCCCCTGCCACGGGGGAGGCTGCCCGCTAGCGGTGTGCCCCTCCCTGGGCTCACTGACTAGGGGACCCTGGGTAGTTCTGTTCAGCGGGGTAACACACACGTGGCTGTGGTTGTCATCAGCATTGTTGTCCTTGGCTGTGGATGGCAGGGAGGGGCATTGTTCCTGGGGCTCCCGTGATCCCCCTTCTCTCAGGTCTCTTGGATTCTGCCCTTCTGCCCCCAGGGGAGCTGGAGCTTCTGGCCGGAGAGGTCCCTGCGCGGAGCCCTGGGGCATTTGACCTCAGTGGAGTTGGGGGCTCCCTGGCAGAGGCTGTGGGGAGTCCCCCGCCGACAGTGCCGCCGGCCCCTACGCCTCCTACGCGGAAGACGCCCGAGTCCTTCCTGGGGCCCAATGCCGCCCTTGTGGACCTAGACTCTTTGGTGACTCGGCCGGGGCCTGCTCCCCCAGGACCCAAGGCCTCCAACCCCTTCCTGCCAACTGGTGAGTGGGCGTGCCCGGCTCCTTTCCCAGACAGGCCCCCTTGTTGGGGGCCACACACAGAGCTGCTGCTGGGACTCCTTGGCGCAGACCACCGTCTCGCTCTGGGCCCCAGGCCCTGCAGGACGTGCTGTGTCCCAGTCCTCTACCCCCGTGGCTGTCTTTCCATCAACCCCCATGGGTCCCCAGCCTGCCTCTTCCCCTCTCGTGTGCATGTGGTTCGTCGAGCTCCGTGTCCCTGCCGCTCCACAGCCTCGGTCCCGTCCCCTCTTGCTCTTCCCTGACCGCCCTGCCCTGCTGTGTCTCTTGACTTCCTCAGGAGCCCCTGGCACAACCGCTGGGCCATCCCTCACCAACCCCTTCCAGCCTCCACCTCCAGCCACGCTCACTCTGAACCAGCTACGTCTCAGCCCTGTGCCCCCTGCTCTGGGGGCCCCGCCAGCCTTCATCTCCCCCCTGGGTGGGGGGCCTGGCCTGCCTCCCATGATGCCCCCAGGCCCCCCACCCCCAAACACTAACCCCTTCCTCCTATAACCGGGCGGGGGGGAGGGGGATGCCCGCCTCCTCTCGCCCTCCAGGAGATCAGTATTGTGAGTGCATGTGAAAGGGGGGGACCCTTCCTCCCCCTCCCCCCCAGCCTCAGCCCAAGCCTGACCCAGTCACACTACACCCTCTCCCCAGCCACCTCCTGAAGCTGGAAACAGGAGGGAGGCTTGGCAGGCAGGGGGACCCCTCTATCCGGAGGCATTAGATGGGGCTGGGGCACGTGGGCACCCCCTCCCTGATCCCCCAGCCTTGACTCCCTGCCCTCCAATCAGTGTTGGAGCCCTGATCTCCCCCCTCCCCCCACAGTGATTGTCCCTGGTGATCACTCGTCTGACCTCTGTAATAAATGACATTTCTGACGGGCACGGGCCCCCTCATGCCCCTTCTGTTCTCTGCCACTCTGCTGCGTGTCCACCTTCCCTGCCACCAGCCCAGATGTCCTCCTCTAGGGACGGGCGGGGTCCACGCCTCTCTTCTTCCCTGGGGGCCATTGGGTATGGTCAGACTTTGGGGTCTGAGGGTGCACTTCTTCCTCGCTGACATGCGTCAGGTGCTGTCCTGGTCTGGGCCGCAAAACAGTCACTACCAGTTGGAGAGAACCCCCAAGAGCCGAGGGTGGGTCAGCAGAGGGACTCATTTTGTGCCTTCTCCCGCCTCTGCCACTGACCTTTGGCAGACTTGTGTGGACCTCGGGGAAAAAGGCTGGTGGCAGCCCTGCCCTGGTCTCCCGTGGTGACAGTGACGTGGGCCCTGGAGGGTGGGGGGCAGGGGCACAGTAGAGTGGCCCTTAACATACGTTGGGGAGAGGGACCGGGAAGGGAGCAGAAGGCCTTCCCACCTCGGCCTAGAGGGAAGAGCCTCGGGCTGCCGGGGGAGCATTGGGGCTGGCAGCCCACCAGGGGGCACCTGATCCAGCATCTGTGGCTGCCTGGGCGCCCCCCCCCCGGGGCTGCTCTTCACCCCCAACTTTGGGGGTGCTGCTGCTGATTTCCGCTCTTGGCCCTGGTTCTCTCTTCGCGGGATGCGCTCCCCATCTCCAGGCTGTTGTGAAGATGTTCTTCACATGGCAGGCGATGGAGGCCTGGCCTCTCCCCCATCCTCACTCCCCTCACGCCAGCCCTCTGAGCTGGTCTTAAACCTGACCCTGCTCCAGGCTGGTCCCATTGGTCCCAATTCCAGTCTCTACCTGTTAACCTAGGGGCTGACCCCTTGCCCCACACCCCCTTGTTCTAATCCTTAGTCTCTACCCCTATTGTCATGCTGTACCCCAGCCCTGCCTCCAGTTTGAACCCTGCCCTTTTCTTGGCAACTTCCAGTCTAACCTAACCCACAGACATCAAGGTCCAGTCGTTATTAAGGTAAACTGAGGCATGAACTTCCGCACATGTTTAGTTTATTGGGAAGGCAATAGCAATTACGAGCAAAAGGAAGTCTATCTCAGCTAGCTAAAAGACCCCAAATGAGGGCAGGCATCCTTAAAAGGAGGAGCCACCAAAAATCAGAAGGCTGCATCTTAGCTGGGAAGACCCGGACTTGGTTACAAAACCTGTGGCGTCAGAGGCATGGGAGATAGGGTTGGCTGGAAGTTGGGAATGCGGGCCAACAAGCTCTTTGGTGGTGGCTGCCTGCATAGAGTGGACCAGGAGCTGTTGAAGGTGACAGTCTGTGTGGCCGACGTTACAGGTTTCCTTCAAGGACGAGTAATTCCTAAGGAAGCTGGACTCGTAAGGCTTCTAGTATCGGCTAGTAAACTGAGCTTTTACATTTAACTCAGAGACCAAGAAGCATGACTCGGGCAGCTGTAAGACAGGCTGTATTTGATCTCCCCCTTCTTTAAGTTTGCTCCCAGTCACAGGCCTGCCCCAGTTTGTCCCCCTCCTCCTCAACAATTATTAAGCACCTGCTGTGTGCCCGGCAGTGAGTTTAAGCACTAGGGATACAGAAAATGGCAGAAGTTAGCCTCTGCCTTCAGGGAGCTAATGATCCAAGAGGCCACTCCCTAGCCCTACTGCTTCCTAAGGATTGTTGGCTCGTTGTTTCTGACTCTTCATGACCCCTTTTGGGGTTTTCTTGGCAAAGACCCTGGCGTGGTTTGCCATTTCCTTCTCCAGCTTATTTTACAGAGAAGGAAACAGGCAAAATGTAAAGGGTCACACAACTAGTAAGTGTGCAAGGTCAGATTCAAACTCGGATCCTCTTGACTCCAGACCTATTCACTGTCACCTAGGTGGCTCCTAACAATGGGTGTACGTGTGAGACAATCCTTACTCAAGGTAGTCTTGAAAAAGCTGGGTTGTTTGGGGATACTGAGGGGAATTGAGATTCGGGCATCCCCTCTTGGCAGGTATAGTGTGGGGTTTCCCCTCTGACATTTGCTGGAGCTCCCGATAAGAAACGGAGAGCCTGGGATGGTGCCCAAGGAGCCAACTTCAGTCTAGGGTTGCTGTGGCTTGTGGGAGGGCCGGCTCACGGAGGCGCCGTGGCCCTGTGTGAAGAAGACCCGGGATGGCACCATGGACGCATCCTCATTCCTCTCGGCCCTCAAGGGGACTCAGGGCCGTGCAACCCAACTGGAGTACACCCCCATAAACAGAAGCCGGAGCGGCAGTTAAAGGAAGAGGCTGGGGCCAAGCACGCCTCCCTGCACATGCTCAGTCCCTTGAGCTGGAGCACCACCTGGTGGTGTGCCCACGTGCAGCATCCTGAGCGGCTCTTGCTGACCATGCCAGTTTTAGCCCTAATGTAAATAAGGCATTATAATGTAATGTGCGTTATAAAGATGGCTTAGGTGATCTCTGATACAGGTCCCAAAGCACTGGATCTGGAGTCAGGAAGACCCGAATTCAAATCTAGCCTCAGACCCTTTCTAGCCGTGTAACTGGACCTCTGTCTACCTCCATTTCTTCAACTGTAAAATGGGGGGCATGCTAGCACCTATGCCATGGAGTTGTGGCGAGGACCAAGTGAGGCGATGTTTGTAAAGTGCTTGGCAAATATTAGGTGCTTACTGCATGTTCCTTTCATCTCCTCAGCTTCTGTGACTGATTCTCCAACCAGTGCCAAGGAAAACGGGGCAAGGATCTCTAAGGGCCTCCCTCCCAGCCCAGGGACAATGGGGCTCTTAGGATTCTGCTCACCTTGGTTGGGCCTCGGGGGTTACCCTCTGAAGGCTCTGCTTTCCAATTACGGGGGAACCAGATATTGTTTATGAATCCAAGCCCCCCCCACCCCGCCCCAGTGAGTACATGACAAGCTTTATCCAAAGCGATGCCAGAGAGTTAGGAAAATGAGCTTTATCTCCCAGCAGATGGAGAACATTAGACACGAGGTTAATGATAAACTTTGACCGTGCTGTTGTTAATGCTCCGTGTGCCCACCATGACGCATACCCTTGTCACACCCATCCTTTCCTGTTTCTCACATTTCTCCCTCACCATGTTTGTCCAAAGCCCCAGCCTCTTCCTTGAGCAGGGCCTCTTTCCTGCTTCCCACTCTTCCCTCTCAAAGTCTTAGGGAAGGGCAAAGCCTTTGCTATCCTGTCTCATGTCCCATCCACCCTGTCCTTTCCTCTCTACCATGATCACTCATTCTTATTTGTTCTGGGGATCCTCCCTGTTGCCTCACTCTCAGACAAGGAAAGGATGTCTTTTCTTGGCCAGGAGACTGCATCAGAAAGTTTGGGTCCAAATTCTACCTCAGAGCTTCTTTGGGGTATGAAATTGGACAAATCTGTTTCTATCTCTGAAGCTCCATTTTCTCATCTGTAAAATGGGGGTAATTCACATGGCTATCAGAAGTAATATATACATTTTTTTAAGGCAATTGGGGTTAAATGACTTGCCCAAGGCCACATAGCTAGTATGTGCCAAGTGTTTGGTCTGAGGCTGGATTTGAACTCAGGTCCTCCTGACTTCAGGGCCAGTGCTCTATCCACTGCACCACCTAGCTGCCCCTAGTAATATGTAAATTTAAGCTGCCTTCATTTTTTCTTTTGTGAACTGTTACTCTTAACAAATAACCAGGGGTTAATGTTTGTGATAATTATCAAGCTCCTCTGGCCTCCTCACTCTTCTGAATGCATGCCATGCTATCTTTCATCTCCATACCCCATGCCTGGAATGCTCTGCCCCACTCCTACCCATCTCTGCTTCTTTTGAGACCAAGCTCAAACATCAGCTTCACCGGAGGTCTTCTCCATACCTCTCGAAGGCTACTGACATCTACAGTATTCTACATACCTTGTGCAAACCTAATTGTAGACATCTCATCTCCTCCTTTAGAATATAAACTCCGTGAGGGCAGGGACTTTTCCGATTTAGCCCAATACCCAGCACATGGTAAACACTTAATAGACCTGTGTTCATTGGTTGCTATTAGCTAACAAATGTTAGGCCTGCTTCAATGTGTCCGCAGGCCTGTAACCTCCCTGATGGGAGTGCTCCCTCCAGTGGTGCAGATTGCACTTTTTTCATCCAGTGGGGCTCTCATCTGCCCTGTCATGCATCCTCCATGAGTGTTCCACCACAAGCGCTTTCCTCCATCTGCCATCTCTGCTTCTCATAGTCACCGTTTCTGGGAAAAGCCTGGGCCCAGCTGTTCCCGCGGTAGATCTGCATCGCGTTTTGGGTGTCTTGGGATGCTGAATCTCCAGAGGTGGTGGTGTTCTCTGACTCACTGCCACAGCGCTGTTAGAACATTATTTAATTCAATGCAACAAATCTTCACTGATATGACTGGTATTTAAAAGGACGCTTGCCACCCCAGGGAAAAGCTTGGAATTGTGGAACACGACCTTGTGTCTCCTCAGTGCTGCCCAGCAGTGTCTTCTCAGCCTCTTTCTCCTTGACCTCCGTGGAGGACTTGATGTTGTCAATGGGGCCTTCTTTCCTCCTTGGTTTCCATGGTGCCATTTTCTCCGTTTCTTCTCAAGAGCAGGTATTTCCCAAGCCTCCGTCCTATTCCCTGTTCCCTTTCCTCTCCACACTTTCTTCCTTGGTGACTTCATCATGGCTTCTCTGGGTGGGTGACTGACAGACCTGGCCCTAGCCTCTTTCCTGAGCACCAGTCCTCTACATGCACCTTGGATCGCATCCCCTCTGTCTTCTCTCACAGATTGCCATTGCAGTCATCCCTATTCCCTCTTCAGTCTCTCCCCATCTCTTTAATCCTTCCTTGCTGCCTACAAACATGCCCCCATCCTAAAAAAAAACCCTTCTCTTAAGTCTTCTAGCTTATATTTCTCTTTCCTGTTTCTATCAAACTTCTTGGAAAAAGTAATTTCTACTTGGGCATCACTTCCTTTCTTCACACACACTTCTATTTTTTTTTTTGGTGAGACAATCGGTGTTATGTGATTTGCCCAGGGTCACACAGCTAGTGAGTGTTTTGTGTCTGAGGCCGGATTTGAACTTGGGTCCTCCTGACTCCAGGGCCAATGCTCTATCCATTGGGCCACCTAGCTGCCCACACACACATTTCTAAACCCTCTAATTTGGCCCAGCAGAAGTTACCAATAACTTCTTAATTGCCAAATCTAATTAATGTCTCTTTCTCAGATCTCATTCTTTTTTAAAATTAATTTATTTTGATTTATCAACAATCACTTCCATAAGCTTTTGAATTTTAAAATTTTCTTCCCCTCCTTCCCCGCATCTCTCCCCAAGGTGGCATGCAATCTGGTATAGGCTATACATGTACATTCCTGTTAAACATATTTTCACATTGGTGATGTTGTAAGAAAGAATTAGAACCAATAGGAGGAACCACCAGAAAGAAAAAAAAACAAAACAACAGAAGAAAAAGAAAGAGCGAATAGGATGCTTTGATCTGCATTCAAACTCCACAGTTCTTTCTCTGGATGTGGATAGCATTTTCCATCGTGAGACCTTTGGAGATGCCTTAGATCCTTGCATTGCTGAGAAGGGTTAAGTCTATCAATATTAGCCATCCCACAACGTGGCTCTTATCGTGTGCAACGTTCTCCTGGTTCTGCTCACTTCACTCAGCATCAGACCATATGAGTGTTTCCAGGTTTTTCTGAAGTCAGCCTGCTCATCATTTCTTAAAGCACAATAGTATTCCATCACATTCATATACCACAACTTGTTCAGCCATTCCCCGATTGATGGGCATCCCCTCAATTTCCAATTCTTTGCCAGCACAGAAAGAGCTGCTATAAATACTTTTGTGCGTGTGGGTCCTTTCCCCATTTTTGTGATCTCTTTGGGATACAGCCCTAGAAGTGCTGTTGCTGGGTCAAAGGGTATGCACATTTTGATAGCCCTTTGGGCATAGTTCCAAATTACTCTCCAGAATGGTTGGATCATTTCACGACTCCACCAATAATGCATGAGTGTTCCAATTTTCTGACATCTTCTCCAACATTTATCATTTTCCTGTTTTGTCATGTTGGCCAATCTGATAGGTGTGAGGTAGTACCTCAGAGTTGTTTTGATTTGCATTTGTCTAATCAATAATGATTTAGATCATTTTTTCATATGACTATAGATGGCTTTAATTTCTTTGTCTGAGAACTGCCTGTTCATATCCTTTGACCATTTATCAATTGGAGAATGACTTGTATTATAAATTTGACTTAATTCTCTGTGTATTTTAGAAATGAGGTCAGCCTCATTCTTCTTGACTTCTCTGGAGTGTTTGACACTGCTGACCACTTTCTCACACTGGATGCTCTCTCCTCTCTGGGACACCACCACCATCCTCGTCCTGCCCCCTCCTGTGGGTGTCCCCCAGCCTCTGTCTTGAGCTTCTTTCTCTTTCCTACATTGGCGATAGCAAATGTAATTATACATTTCCTAGAGCCATCTCTCCAGCCCTAGCCTCTCTTCTCAGCTCTCATCCTTGCGTCTCCAGCTGTCATGTCCCAGACTGAATTCCTTCTCTTTCTCCCGAGCCCTCCCGCCTTCTGCCCTTCCCCACCACCCTCCCTCTACCCCTCTCAGTGCCAGGTGCCTGGGGTCCTCCCTGCCCCTCGTCCCACGGATCCAGCCAGTTGACAGGTCTTGCCATGTCCGCCTTCAGCGCATGGATTCTGTGCACGCCTTGTCTCTAGCCTCTCCCCTCACTCATTCAGACCCTCGTTTCTTCTTACCTGGACTATTGCGATCGCCTGCCTCGCGTCCCCACTCCAGGTTTCCTAAAGGGGAGATCTGACCGCCTTCACGCTCCAGTGATTCCAAACGACCTCAGGAACAAATACGACAACAACAATTAATAATAGTAGCTAGCATTTACAGAGCACTTTGAGGCTAACACTTAATCTTCCCAATCACCCTGTGAGTCAGGGCTATTCTTACCCCCATTTGGGGATGAAGGCACTGAAGGAGACAGAGACTTGCCCAGGGTCACACAGTTAGTAAGCGTCTGCGGCTGGATTTCCCGACTCCGAGTTCAGCACTCTATCCGCTGTATCACATAGCCGTCCTTAATATTAAATGTAATGAGGAGGGGGGGCATCTAGTGCCTGTGCAGGCCCCCACCGCTTTGCCAAGATTGTGTCTGCTTGTGAGGACAGTAGGGATCCGCCTCTGGGAGGGTCTCGAGGACTGGAGCGTGCTCGGGCATTCTGGAGACGGTTCCAGTTAGCTTTCCCCTTGGTTAGTAAGGTCTGCTCCCAGTGCCTCAGCAGCCAGAATTGTCGACGTCAGCGCCAGATCTTTCTTGCTGCGTCCGCATCGGGGAGGAGCAAGGTGCTACCTTCACGCATGGCCTGGGTTTTTCCTCCCATTTGGTTCTTTCCCATTCTGGATGCAGGGACCGGAGTCTCCAGCTTTGATCAGAACTGAGAGCCAGAGAAGTGTTTGGCGTCCAACCCAGCGCTGAAGCTCGGAGGAGCGAGGAGTGATCCCAGGGAAGGGACTTCTGGACTCCAGCCCAGCAGTGATATGACCTTTGGACATGCATATTTGGTGGGAACCATGTTATGTAGGAACCCCCAAGCCCCCCCAAAACAAGGTGGTCTAGGAGGAACTGTGTCCCCCCAAGTGTCGAGGGAAACGTTTGTGTGTTTTTGCCAAATCTGTTTAAGTGTATGTTCCTTTGTGAAAGTTAATCCAAAGTTAATGGAAAGGAGGTGCAAGTCATTGGCTTCCTAAGATGGGAGGGACGCAGAGAAAAGATACCTGAGAACCCTGAAGGGGGAAGTGGGGCTGGAGAACAGACCCCTCTCTTTGGCGTTCAGGTTCTTCATCGCCTGGCCCCTCCCTCCCTTTCCAGTCTGGGTATGCTCCATGAAATCTCTAGTTTGTCGACGCTGGCCTGCATGCCTCCCCTCGCTCCTTCCCTCTCCCATCCCAGTGCATACAATGCCTCTCCTCCTTCCCTCGGGCCCGATGGCGTGTCTGGCTTCTTCCAAGGCTCGGGTCCTGACTTCTTCTCTCACAGAGCCATCTCTCTACTCTCTCTGTACTGCGTAGACAGCTACTGATTTACCTCTTGTCTCCTCTACTGCACTGTGACCTCCAGGAAGGCGGGAACGATGGTTTTGCCTGTCTTTGCATCCCCAGTACTTACTGCTGCGCCCGGCACACAGTAAACAGTAGACACGTCATAAATGCTTGCTGACTGATTTTTCTGTCTCTGCTTCAGTTGATTTCTAGGCTCATTTGGCCTCCTTCTTCCTTCAATGATTTATGTTTGTTAAACTTACTTTGGAAACGTAGTCAGCCTGTGTGGATACGCATTCTTTTATCCGTTTCTCATTGCAGGTGGGAAATGTGTCCGTAGCCTCGATGGCCTTTCCTACAGATACGCTTACTGCATTTTTAAGGGACATTGGAATTTTAGAAAATGACAGTTTAACGGTCCTGAGAGTGGCCTGTGAGGAGTCAGAGTTTAACTGGCATTCTAGAGAGACTGTTAATTGTGGTGACTGAAGAGAGTTAAAAAGAACAAAGAGGACTGAGTCGAACCATTATATTGTGTGTGGTTGTGGGGGAGGGGGAAGCACGAGCATTACTCTTGAGACTCGTGTCTTGAGAGAACTGAACGGTGGGACTGTACTTCCAGAATTGAGAAGTCAACAGCTGTAGTCATGATTAAAGGTGACTTTGGCTGTGATCCTTCTCACAACTGATAGATTATAAGTAGTCATGTTTTGTTGTTCAACTGTTTTTTAGTTGTGTCTGACTCTTCGTGATCCCGTTTGGGGTTTTCTTGGCAAAGATACTGGGGTGGTTTGCCATTTCCTTCTCCAGCTGAGGAAACTGAGACTGTAAATTAACAGGGTTAAGTGACTTGCCCAGGGTCACATAACTAATAAGTGTCTCAGGTCAAATTTGAACTCAGGTCTTCCTGACTCTAGGCCTGGGGTTCTATCCACTGTGCCACCTAGCTGCCCCAACTAGCCACATGTTTGTGTTTTATCGTTGGGCGTACTGTTAATAAGTAGTATAGTAACTTTAGTTTTTATTTAAGGCTTGAAAATTAGGGAGATTGCTACAGAAAGAGAGAGAGAGAAAGAGAGAGAGAGAAAGAGAGAGAGAGAGGAGAAGAAGCTTATGAGAAAAGAGGTTTCCCCAATTTATTGTTTACAAACAATAATTCTAATAAAATAGATGGGAACTCAGCTAATTAAGTGATAATGATAATAGCTAACTTTTATATAGCACTTACAACATACCAGACACTGAGCTAAGCACTTTACAGTAATTATGTTATTTGATCTTCCCAACAACCCCGAGAGGGAGGCTCCATTTTACAGATGAGGAAACAGAGTAAGTGACTTGCCCAGGGTCTCACAACTGACAAGCATCTGAGGCCAAACTTGAACTCGGGCCCAGGGCTCTATGCACTGTGGCACCACCTGGCAGATGTAAGAGATGTTGCAGTTGTTGTAATTAATAAGCAAATATCAAAACGATGGCTCCTTGATTCACTTAGATGGGAATGGGGAACCTGCAGCCTTGTGTGGCCCTCTAGGTCCTCAAGTGCGGCTCTTTGACTAAACACGCGATGAAGGAGGGAAGTGACCTAGGAGCAGGTAAGGAGAGAGGTCAATCCACCTGTGCTGCCCGTGGAGATTGACCCTAAACTCCTGCAACATCATTTCCCCCCAGAGTTAATAGCTTCTTTGAAAGATCTGGTTGACACGGGCCCTGAAGTCAGGAGGACCTGAGTTCAAATCTGGCCTCAGACCAAACACTTGACACTTACTAGCTGTGTGACCATGGGCAAGTCACTTAACCTCAATTGCCTAACCAAAAAAAAAAAAAGAAAAAAGAAAGAAAAAGTAAGATCAGGTCAAAGCTAATTTAATGGTGCACCATAGCATTTTCTCTTCTTTCTTCTAATTTGGTGTTAATTTTGATCTTGGCTCCCAAAGTCTAGTCATGGTCTGACTTCTTGCCATTCTCCCCTGCCTACCAAGACACAGTCCATTCCATCTTCTGGGCTGTCATTAAGCGATCGCTATGTCCAGTGCCTCCCAACTCTCTTCTTGAAGACACAGGCACCAGGCTTCTGAGCAGTCCACGAGCCTGGCCTCTCTGCATGTGCAATCCTGACCCGCATCATCTCACTGCAAACAAGATGCCGTCTTTGCCTTGGGCCCGCCTGGCCTCTGTGCGGTATTTGACAGCTGGCTGCCCCCTCCTCACGCATCCTCCATTCTGGGACGTTGATGTCTCCTGTTTCTCCTCCTGCCTCTCTGACCCCCTTCTCATTCTCTTCTGCTGTCTCCCCGGGCTCTTTCCAGGACCTTTTTTCTCTTTATACTCTCTGTTGGAGATTTCATCAGCTCCTGTGGGTTCAGCTGTCATCTCCACACAGAGAACTCCCAGATCTAACTCTCCTTTCCTAGTCCTGAGTTCTCATCCCACTTCACTAACTGCCTAGTGGACATTTCCCAGGTGAATGACCCAAATAGAACTCATTATCTCTCCCTTAAAACATCCCCCTCTTTCTAACATCACTATTCCTGTTGAAGGAATCACCATCTTTTCCCCTAATTTGTAATCTTGAAATCGTCTTCAAGCTAGGTGGCCCAGTGGATAGAATGCTGGGCCTGGAGTCAGGAAGACCTGAATTCAAATCTGGCCAAAGATACTTACCAGCTGTGTGACCCTGGGTAAGTCACTAAATTTGTTTCACCTTCCTCAACTATAAAAGGGAGGCCATAATAGCACCTACCTCCCAGAGTTGTAAGGATCAAATGAGGTCATATTTGTATGGAATTTAGCACAGTGCCTGGAAACACAGTAGACACTTAATAAATGCTTATTTCCTCCCTTCATCTCCAATTTGTGGCCTCCATATGCAATTAGTTGATACGTTATGTTGATTCTTCCTCTATGCGAAGACACACAGCACTCAGGCCACTGAGGAATGAAGAAGAAATGCTACTTTGAGAATATTATAGTCTGAATTCACTTTGATTTCACCTCAGTGAGATCCCTGATGAGTCCTCCTTGAATGAAAGATTCAATCAGTGAACATCCTACTTGGAAGTCCTTGGTTTTACTTGAATAAAAGACCTAATCAGACAGAATTTGTCCTTGTGGTGACCAAAGTAAGAGTGGGAATGCCTTTTAATTCATCCAAATGAGAAAAGTATTTCCGTTTTACCTTGACCCAACTGAAGTCAGAATACCATAAAATGGAAGAGGGCATGGGCTGGGAAAGAGAGAATTCCATGTAGCGGGATGAGGATACAGACTGTAAGCTTAGAGCCCCCTATAGCTGGAGTCTGTTGTTGGACTCCCTGGGCTTCTCTCTACACCGGCTGATAACTTTCCCTTGTTCCTGCTGTTGTCAGTTCAGGACTAGGATTAGACTGCATTGTGAGGTCGCTCAATCAGTCAACACGCCCTTATTAGGCACCTGCTGTGTGCCAGATGCTGTGCTAAGCACTGGAGATGCAAAGAAAGGCAAAAGCAGCCCCTGCCTTCAAACAGCTTACAGTCTACTGGGAGAAACAACAGCCGACAACTATACATACACAACAGATAACCAAGGAGATGCTTATCTGCTATTTTCAGGACCAATCCTGAAAAACAGACAACTTTGTTTCAGCTGGGGGAAACCCTTTGTTGGAGTGGGTGGTCCCAGTATTTGCCTTGACCCATAGAAAACTGGCTCAAGCTGTGGAAACTCCAAACCCAAGATTTCTGAATGGCGGCTGTTGGAATGAAAGAGTAGAGATACTACAGGAAGGACTGTACCGAGATATAATTCTAAAGAATAACCCAACCATGCCACCTTTCTCTCTTTTTCCCATTCTGGTGGCTACCATATTGGAAGATACAAGCTCAGGCTACTTGGCAGTGCCCTAGGCAGGGGAGCTAGGACCATGAATCACCTATGAGCCGCCACCCAATTTAAAGTTTTCTTTCTCTTTTGAATGATTTGGTCTGGTCAAATACAGATTAGGCT